GCGGGGGTGGGGGGGCTGGTGGCCGGGCGAGGCGGGTGCAAGCAGGGGGCTGCAGGGTGAATTGCTCGTTGTCCTCGCCGAGAGGCTGCGGGCTGTTGCAGACGCCGGGAGCGTTGCAGCGTTGCTTCATCCCATCTCCCCTGCCCTCACGGACCTGTTCTTCTCCAGTTCCACGACAAGATCGAGCTCATGCTGGAGACGCTGGAGAGCCTCTCGTCCCGCCTGTGCGTGCCGCCCCTCATCCCCGCCGAGGTCGAGAAGATCCGGGAGTGCATCGGCGAGAACAAGAACGCCATGGTGGAGCTGGAGAAGCTGCAGCCTTCCTTCGAGGCTCTGAAACGCCGCGGGGAGGAGCTGATCGGGCGGTCGCAGGGAACGGACAAGGACCTGGCAGCGAAAGGTATCTCGGGGGGGATTGAACAGAAGGCGGTGGGTGGTGGCACTGCCCGGCTTCTCCTCCCAAACCACGGCTCCATCGCCATGGGGGAGACTTTGATGCCCCAGGGGTGTATCTCAGGGTGGGTTTAGCAGAAGGGGCTGGCTGGGGCTGGTGGCACTGCCCAGCTTCTCCTCCCCAAACCACGTCTCCATCACCATGAGGGAGATTCTGATGCCCCAGGGGTGTATTTCAGAGGGTCTCCTGGCTTTAGGGGGAAGGATGAATCCCCAGCCTGCAGAGATCCGGGGCGTGGAGCAGGGAGGGTGGCATCAGCCAGAGGAGAAGGAAGCGTTTGTGGCTGCTCAGGGAGAGGTTCCAGCTGAGCCGTCACCCGGAGCTGGTCTCTTGTGACAGCCGTTGGTGGCCCCCGTGAAATGGTTTGTTGGTGTCGATTCAGCATCTGATGGAGGGAAGGAGCATCTCCTGCACAAAAAGCCCCGTCAGCGCGATGGGCACTAATTGGCACCTTTCTCGGCAGCTCAGCAGCCGGCTCATGGGCTGAGCGAGTGCAGGCTTCACGCTAGAGGTGGCCAGAACAGAGGTCCCTTGGAGGGCGAGTGTGTGGGCAAATTTGCCCTGAGCTCGCCTGCACTCAGATAAAAGCTTTATTTCTGCAAGCTGGAGTTTCTCATCTCCCGCAGTATCTCTGGGTTAACGCTCTGATAGTCCTGCTCATCTTCAATTCCCCTTTGAATATTCCGTTGGCTGTTTCGAAGCCGAAAGCGTTTGCAAAATGGTTTTGGGTTGTGGAAGGGTTTCCTTAATCATGGAATGTTTCCCTTCCCTTCCTCAGTAATCCAGGATAAGTTGGATCAGATGGTCTTCTTCTGGGAAAACATCAAAGCTCGGGTGGAGGAACGTGAAATGAAATTCCTGGATGTCCTGGAGCTCGCAGAGAAGTTCTGGTACGACATGGGAGCGCTGCTGACCACCATCAAAGACACGCAGGACATCATCCGCGACCTGGAGAGCCCGGGCATCGACCTCTCCATCATCAAGCAGCAGGTGGAGGCGGCAGAGGTGGGGACCAGGGGACCGTCCCCCTGCGTGGAACCTGTCTGTGCCCAGCTTGGGAGCTAAACTGGGGCGGGTCTTAGATACGAGCACGGGCAGAAGAGGCTGTAGAAGAGTTTTGCAGGCAGGCAGTGGGGTTGTGAAATGTTATTTCCATTGCAGTTTGGAACTGCAAGGAAAAAACCAGACACGTTTCACGTATCCCTCCCCACCGCCCCCAGTTCCAGAGGAGAAACGATGCTGAAACCAGTTTATCTGCTGTGGGTTTGGGGAGCTCATGGAGCGGGTGGTTGGGGGTGTGTGCCCGCTTGTTGTGAGCGATGTGGTTCTGCTCCCAGCCGGAGTCGAAGGCATCCGGGCGCTGTCTGGTGTGGGAGGGGTGGGTTTGGGTTTGGGTTTGAGTTAGACCAGAGAGAGGAGCCGCACGGGCTTGGATTCGTGTGGGGGGTTCGGTTGTTTGAAATAAGCAGCAAAACCCACTTGAGGTGGACTTGACTGGGACACTGGGGAGCGGGGATGTTTCGTTGTGTTTTTTCTCACTTTGTCCTGGCCGTTTCCCTTTTATACCATCCTGACTTTGGTTTGCAACTTTGGAGTCTCAAAAACCAATTCCTGCATTGCCAAACCCCCCTGCAAACAGCCCTGCTCGGGTAGCCAGCATCTCCAGCTCAGGTCACCTCCAGCCCAATGCAGATGTTCCCATTTCAGTTCCCAGCCCCTGCACCCAGCAGCATCGCCACCGTCCCAGCGGCGCGTGGGAGCAGCCCGGGCTGGTGGTGGCACTGCGGGGACAGCCCCCGGC